CCTCGGGGGGGTCCTGCCTGGTTTGGGGGGGTCCTGCCGCGACATGCCCGCCGCCGGGCGGCCCGGGGGTGCTCGGCTCGGGGGTCCCTGTACCGGGGCGCGGCGGCGTCGCCCCGTCGTGCCGCGGCCCCGTTCTACCGGGGAATCCTCCGGGGCGCGGCACGGCCCCCGCCCCTCCCCGGCCCCGGGACGGATCGGTGCCCCGGGACGGGTCGGTGCCCCGGGACGTCGCCTTGCCTCTCGGGCCGGCCACATCCCCGGTCCTGGCGGCTGCCATGGCAACGCCCGGGTACCGTGATTTCCCTCATCCCCCCGTTGCCTGGTTACCGGCCCCCCGTGCGGGGAAGGACGCCCCGGTGGACCGGCCGTCCCCACCGGAGCCCACCGCGGGTAGAGCCCGGGCACGCCCTGCCGTTCCCTGTTTGCCCCGGGCTGGCTGGGTGCGCGGGGAGCTCCGGGAACGGGGAGGTAAATCCTCCTCTCCGAGTGTCTGGCAGCGCTCCGGCTTCTGTTGTTAAATATTTTAGTAACGCCGTAGCGATACACAAACAGTGGAGTGCTTCATCCCGGGAAGGCGTAGCAGAGGGAAGGAAGAGCGTGTCTCTCTCGGGGTGTGTAATTAATGCTTCCTGGAGAAACAGATATCGGAGTCCATGTGGCGGAACTCGGATCTTGCAGGAACATTTCAGTGGGAGGGAAAGTGACAGGTGGTTTGTGTGGATGTGAATAAGCTCTGCAGCGTGAAGGAGCAGCCTCTCGGGAAAAGCTGCCTGTGGATTAGGGCTCGGAGCAGCCCCTGCACCCATTCCAGCCAGCCCACGCTGCTCCGAGGTCCTGTTGGGTCCCGGTGGGATTTTGGGTCCCCCTGGGTGGTTTGGCTCCCAGTTTGAAGTGAAGGGGAGCCCCGAGAGCCCTGCCCGGGTGCAGCAGGAGCGCGGCTCCGAGATGGAGCGATGGGAGCGTGTGAGGGAAAGCTGCCAGCGTAAAGCACAGTGGCTGCGGAGCCAGGGCACCTGTTAGAGCAGGGACCTGCCGGAGAGTACCCCCATGCCTGTGAGGTGTGGGGCTGGCTGCACCTTCCCCTCGTGACGCTCGTGTTTCACGCTTGCCTTGGGATATTAGCTGCCTCCTCGAAACTTACCCATTCGGGTACACGGTGGAGCGTCACGGTTTTGCCAGGAGTTTGGGCTTTGGTGTTGAGGACAATTCCCCAGCGCAGGGAACTGGCAGCTTCGGGGCCGGCTGTTCCCCCGTGTTTGCCTTTCGGGCTGTTTGTGTGTTTCCAAAGCCCAAAGAGGCCACCACGCTGCGTGGCTCCGTGTCACCACACCTCCCCGAGCATGGGGAAGGCACCGCTGGCACCGGGTGGCACAAAGGCATCCCTGCTCGTGGCGAGCAGCCATAGCCGGTGGCAGGGACGTGCCCGGCAGGGACTTTTCCTTGCCTTGTGCTCGGTGGTGGTCGTGGCTGACGGCAACAGCAGAGGAGCGAATGGAGAAAATGTCCGCTCTCTGATGCTGTGCTGTGCGTGGCAGCGTCGTGGCACCCGGGACACGCGGCAGCTTGAAACAGCTTCTGTTCTGTGTTTTCCAGTGACCTGGATTTCTCTCACCACTGGGACCTGCCAGGTAACCCCTGCTTTTTGAGTGACCCGTTGTGCTCCCGTTGTGCTGGTGCCCAGCCGTGTGCCCCACTCGGGGCCCAGGGTGTGGGGCAGGGTGCGAGGAGGGCTGGGGAGCGCTGGGTGCGGAGGGAGGACAGGACAGTTGGAGCAGGTGCAGGGCTCAGGTTTACGGCGCCCGGTTATCTGTTAAACAAACGAGGAGAGCGCAGGAGCAGCAGACTCCCGACGGGAGGAGGTGGTGGTGTTTACTGCTTCCCCGGAGCCGAGGGCTGGGTTCCCTGCCTGTTGTACTGACACCAGCGCTGCTGGGCAGCCATTAACTCGGCAGTCATTGTGCTGGAGGTCTGCCTCAGATGCAGGGCTAGCCTCACTCTTTCCGTGCTCGCTGCTTCTTTTTTGGGGAAACGTGTATTGTCGGTGTGGGCTGGGACTGCCGCTGAGCCAGATGCGGCCGGACAGCTTTGGCTAAGGCTCCTTGATGTTTTAGGGCTGGTTGTCTGGGGCTGGAAGGCAGGAGGCGAGGTGAGTGCTGGGTAGGGGTGAGGGATGCAGCACGGGGTGTGCTCGGAGCCTCGCCGTGTTCAGCCGTTCCCTGCCACCACGTGCTCCTGCAAGCATGGCCCCGTCCATGGGGGTCCATGTGTGAGTCTTGTTCAGCAGAAGCCGGAGTGAAATTTGGGTTCTTGGGGCTCCCAGAGAGGGTTTCCTTGGGATATCCTCTGGTTCGGGAAGATACCCCAAACCTGGTCTTCTATGCAGTCAGCCTTTCAATCGGCACCGAATTTGGGGAGTGCCCTCCACATCAGAATGGTGAGGGCTGGAAATCTCTCCTTCTCTCTCATTTAGGAGCACAAGAGGCACATTAATAGCCAGATTGATGCTGACGTGAAATGGCAGAAGAGCCCATCTATGCGTAGCTGGAAATGTCCATTCACACATGCACACTCTTAAATGCTCCAGGCAACTGAGCACTGCTGTCACGGTCTTGGGGGCTTTGCAGAGTAAGTAGAGATTTTAACTAGGTCTGATCTTCGGGAGATGCCCTGAGGACTCCTGACGGAAGGAGGAGGCTGCCCGGCGTTAGGCTGTGATGGCTGAGACTTGACAGGGCTGATCCATGCAAAACAACGATGAAGAAAAGGGGACTTGAAGATTCAGGGCCGTTACAAATCTACCTGCCTTGCTCTGGCATGATTTGCCGCGCTACGGAGAGCTTAATTGGTGGGCAGGAGAGAGCGGGGCTGTCTGCCCAGATTTCCCCCCAGCTCCTCTATCTCTGGCGCACACACCCCAACCCAACGACACGCAGAATTGCAAGGAGGGATTATCCAGCCGCGGGAGGCTGGGGGAGAGCTGTGACTGTGCCTTGCATGGAGCGGAGCATGTTGGCCACGAGCTCGGCAGGGAGGCAGGTGGGCAGTGAGTCACCCGGCCGGCTCTGCTGGCTGCCAGGCGGCTCCCGGCTCCGGCCACCCCGAGCCCAAGCACAGCCTGGGGAGGTGGCTCTTGTGCTGGGCAGGATGGACCAGGGCACTGCTCTGGGGGCTGCTAGCCCTGGCTGGTGGCCACAGGGGCCGGGCTGTGCTGGCTCCTCTGGCCCCAGGGCCAAGCAGGATACCCCAGGGTGATGCTTCCCTAGGGCAGGGAGGGCAGGAGGTCCTGCCAGCATCCAGGGGTGAGGGTGGCTCTGTGGGCACCACCTGCAAACCCTCACCATGGGGCAGGTGGAGCCCTGGCTGCCTCTGTGGCACGGGGCTAGTCCCTCAGCCTGGTCGTGTCCCCATCCTACCAGAGAGGGGTTGGGGGAGAGCACAGGTAACCCCCAAACAGCAATCTCCACCTACTCCCTCTGTCTGCGTCGTCACCACCTTCACTCTCCTCAATGCCTGATGTCCTCCTCCTGGCACCTGCTCTCGCTCAGCTGTGCAGATGGGGATTTAGGGGTAAATCTATTTGGTTTCCCCCCTAAAACCACAGATGGGGCTGAGGTGAGAGGGAAGGAGAGCTCTGGGCACCGCTGCCCCGCTTCCTGTGCCGCGCTGCCCCTCCCCGTATTCAGGCAGATCTTGCAGCTCTAACAGGAAAAAAACATGTTTTGATTCAAGTCTCATGCGAAGTGCTCTGTTCCCCGTGACCTGTACGGGTGCGTGGCTGCTGCCTTTGGTGATCACAAGCTTTGTGTCACTAATAATGGGGAGAAAACGGGGCCGTGTGGGTGAGGAGCGGGCTGTGGTGGGGACCAGGCTCGGGGCTCTGTCACTTATAGGGCAGCTCTTGTTTTTCCACTGCCTTTGTGTGGAGACAGAGCTGGATTCAGCGTGGACGGAGGGCAGGGAGAAGCCCCTTCCTGCCTTGGACACGGCCGTCTAAAGGCGCGAGCAGGGAAAACGGCAAAGCCTTTGCCGTGTTTGCTCTTCTCACTTTATTTCAGCTTCATGGAAAAGTGGGTGGGCCAGCTTGAAACAACGCAAAAAAAACCCCCAACAACAAACCCACCCAAACCTGTGGCACTTTGCAAAGCATATGCTTCCTTGGAGGAGAACCACGCTCCAGAATGCCGTGTTTGTTTTTTCTAGCCGGGACTCCGCCAATCCTGCTGGTTAACTCCTGCGGGGAGACGTTGCAGCCTGCGGACGTGTGTGAGTTTTGGGAACCGAGTTAGGAAAAAAAACCAACAAAGACCATATGTGTGCTGTGTGCTTGGCTTGGGGGAAAAAAAAAAAAAAAGAAAAAAAAGAAAAACCTAACCTAGTGAGCTCTGCTGTGCTAAATGCAAGGAGCCAAGATCAGATCAGAGGAGTGGAAACACCGTCTGGGGCCGAGCGGGGCCCCGGCAGCTGCGGGAGTGAAGCCTTGGGCTGGGAGATGCTCTCTTCTGTTCATTTTGGCAAAACCCACCCCGGCAGCCAGCAGCATGGCTGCCCGGGCCCTAAAACACCTTCCTGGGTGGCAACGGGAGCACCCCGAAATAGAAGAGGTGTGAGGGGGTGTGTTGCAGCTCACGTGTGATGAGTGATTCAGGCTGAGTGTGCGGGGTGAGAGATGGTGCTCGTGGGAGCCCCAGGGCTGCGGGAGGGGAGTGAGAGTGGGGTGAGGGCACCTGGCTGCCCCCCTGAACTCACACCAGGGCTGTGGATAGGAAAGCTCTGCCCCAGGGAGAGGGTTCCCACACACCTTGGCTGGGGCGGTGGAGCGCAGGGCAGGGCAGGGATGGTTGTGAATAATGCAGAATTCCCCAGTGTGTGCTCTGGGGGGATGTCACCGAGCTGCTCCTGCAACAGTCAATGGCAAAATAAACGGTAAAAATCTGATGAATGATTTGTTCAAAAAATCAAGGCGCCATTAATGTGCCACAAGAGCCAATTAATACTGTTCATCTAGCGACGGCGTGTGCTGTATTGCATCTCCTCGTGCACGTACACCCCCCTCTCATCGGGTAATGACACTGATTTTGCGCTGGCAGCCTCGGCAGTAAGCAGATAAAGGACGTGGGGGGAAATGTGCAGCTACAAGTTACTGTATCACCAGCTGTTGGGTTCTTTTGTACGTGTTTCTAAGACCTGGTAATTATCCAGAATTACGTGCCTCAGCAAACGAGAGGGCTTGTCTGGGTGCAGGGAGCCAGCGGCACGCTCCAGCGCGGCGTGGCAGCGCAGCCCCGCGCCACACAATGGCAGCGCCAGCTGCGGGCGAGGGAAATTAAACCCTCCGGCGTTCAGATAAACCACGTTTGCTTCAAAACGACGAGACACGGAAAGGGAGGGAAGGACAGGAATCGTCATGGGAGGCAACTTGTTAATGATGAACGCGCCGGGCGCTGGGAACGTGCTCCCCGCGTTGGCAGGGCTGAACGTGGTGATGCTTCCTCCGTAGGCACGACGGGAGCTGGCTCCTGAAGGCAGCCCCGGGACCAGCGAAACACCACGGGGGCCAGCTTTGGTGGGCTGGTGGGCACGGCTGAGCCCGCTCCCCGGGCGCCTTCCCGGCGCAAAGCGGGACAAGGACCTGGAGCAGGATGTGGGGGACCCTGGTGCCCCAAGGAGCCGGGCTGGAGCAGCTGAGCTGCCTGCCCCCCGTCGCTGGCAGCCGGGGCGGGCTGGGATGGAGCTCGCATCCAAATCAGGTCAGGCTCTGGAGGGGCTGAATAGCAGCACGCTGGGGATCTGCATCCATCAGCCAGCTGAATTCCTGCTCTGTCGAGGGCCCCTTTCTTATCGGCACTAATCCAGCGCAGCAGCTGCAGCGGCTCTGTAGCACTCGGTGCTATCAGTGCTGTGCAGGGCGCCCGATAAACCCCCCTCCCCTTCCTCTCCTGAGCCCACAGCGAGCCCTCTTCGTGCTCCCGCACCATGTATGGCCACCCAGCCCCGTCATCGGGGCGCTTACTGACCTCCTGGCAGCCGCAGAGCACAAACAAGCTGAGCCAGGCAGCCAGGGGGGCAGTGCCCACCCTCCCTCTGCACCCCCAGCCTGGCTCCCTCAAAGAAGACACGTCTGCCGAGCCCTCTCCCCCCGGGAAGAGGTGTCCCCCACTCGCAGCCACCCACCAGGATGGTGGCAGTGCCCTGGGCAGGCTGGCAGGATGGAGAGCAGCCTGGCCCCTCAGGAGGAGGAGGAGGAGGAAGGATGCTGGTGCCGGCCCCGCTGTGCTTGGGGACAGTTTGTAGGTAGCGTGTGTGCTGCCAGGGCCCTCCCTTGGCAGGGCAGCGGTGCCTGGTGTCGGCTGGTCCCGAGGGTGCCCATCCCCAATGGGTGCAGCAGCAGCTCGGGACACGGAAATGTGCAGCCCTAAGATGGCAGGGACTGTCACAGCCCCTTGCTGTGCCCAGGCTGGCATCCCTTGAGACGGGTCCCTGCTCCGGTGGGTGTCCCCAGTGTGTGGGTGCTCGTGAAGGGGCAGGGAGAGGCCCGGGGGTGAGGGGGGCACCGAGGGGTGTTGATGGTCTCTCCTCTGCCGCAGGTGAGCGTGGGGAGCCGGGAGGGGCAAGTGCAGCTTCCAGCTCGTGTCCCACCAGGGCCACTGGCCTCATTGTAGGAATGTGCTGTAATTGCTATGCTAATTGGGACAAATTAAAGTATGGCGCTGGGTGAAGGGCACGGCACTGACCTTGATGGAGAGATCACAGCCCTTGTGCTGGCCCCATTGCCTGCAGTGCAACCTTGCCACTGCGCCCGGATCCGTGCCAGGAGCGGAGCCAGCAGTGGAGAGGTGGTCGAAAACACACCACAGAACCCCACAAAATCTCTCTCTCTCTCTGCTCAAACCCTTCCCCTCCTTTGCACCTGTGAGCCGCTGTGTCCCCGTGGGGCTGGGTGCTGCCATGGCCAGCCTGGCTCCTTCCCCCAGCTTGGGGGGCAAGGGCTGCGCGCAGGTGGGCACCGTTGCCTGTAGTCCCTCCCGTGCCCCCCAACCCCATCGCGGTGTCCTCCACCAGCCCCCCGGGTGCTGAGCCCTCTTCCCTCTCTCGCAGCGGCCATGGAGGCAGCGCTGATCTTCCTGTGCTCCCTGCTGGTGCCGGCGGCCGTGGCAGACGGTAGGTGCCAAGGGTTTTCCGCATGCGGGAGGTGGCAGGGGTGAGGGAAGAGGCTGCGTGGCCCCAAGGGACAGCCACCCCTCCCGTCCAAGGGGGCTGGAGTGGCACGGGGGGGCTGCAGGGCCTCACTTCACACCCTCTCTCTGTTTATTTGCAGTGGCCACCCAGGAGAAGGAGGAGGACCCCTTTAACTATGGTGAGCATCGCCGTGCACGGGGCTGGGCGTGCTGGCAGGGACACGCGTGCCTGTGCCATGGGGAGCAAAAGGGGCTGCCCCCCTGCCCTCAGCCCAGCAGCAACAAGCCCCTGTGTCTCTTCCCCCCAGATTACCAGAGCCTGAGGATCGGGGGGCTGGTGTTCGCTGTGGTCCTGTTCACTGTGGGCATTCTCCTCATACTCAGTAAGTCGGGGACCAGGCGGGTGCCGGGCGTGGGGGGCGGCTGTCGGGAAAGGCCGTGGCCCCTTCCCACTGTGGCCACACTCATGGTGTTTCTCTCCCCTTGCAGGCAGGAGGTGCAGGTGCAGTTTCAACCAGAAGCCCAGGTGAGTGAGGGCAGCATCTCCTTTGGAGAACCCGTCCAAGGAGAGCTCTCCCTGCACTCCCTCCTGCCGCTGGCAGAGTGGCCGTGCTCCCCGAGCACCCCTTTCGGGTGCCTGGTGCCCCAAGAGGAGGGATGCTCTGCTGCAGAGCTCCTGGGGGGAAAAGCAGCTTCCTCGGCGTGCCCCTGCCCTCTGGGGCATCCCTCTCCCCGGCATGGGGTGCAGGTCCCACCGTTCTCACTCTGCTCCTCTTCTTGCAGGGCTCCGGGGGACGAGGAGGCTCAGGCTGAGAACCTGATCACCTCAAACGGTAAGGTCTCCTGTCCCACGCCGCGTGTCCTTTGCCCCCGCTTCTGCGTTGTACCCACCTGCCCACAGGGCACCCGGCCGTGGGCAGGGGCTGCAACCTCTCTGCTCTTCCCTTGGCAGCCACGGGAGCGCAGAAAGCAGAGAACTGACCAAGAGCCATGTGGTGAGTCCCGGGGCTGCCACGGACCAGCCCAGGCCAGCCTGAGCGGTGGCACCGGGCTGTCACAGCCCCAGCGCTGGGAAGGAAGTGGGGGGTGGCTGGAGCTGTGCACAGGGGGTGACTGCGGGCGCTGAGTAGACCAGTCTGCTGGGACTGGGCAGCTCTGCCCCCCAGCACAGTGCAGGAGCGAGCACTGGTAGGGACCACGGCAGGGAAACACGCTGGGCAGGTCCCGGGTGTCCCGTGCTCGGTCAGCCCAGCAGGAGAAGGAACCATCTGTCCAGATTTTCCTTTGCATTGCATTGCCTTCTGCTTCTCCACCCCAAAGTGGCTCTATTTTTAGGGCCTCTGGAGAGCTGAGTGTGAGTTCTGGGGGGCTCCTGGGGTTCCCCCGAGCTCCTGGGCTGTGGCCCACGTTTGGAGTGGGGGGAAGGCTGGAGCCCGTGCTGGTGGGAGCGTGGTTTGTGCTGCTGGTGGATGGTCCCCGCGCAGGGGAAAGGCAGCGGTGCTGCTCCCGGCCTGACTCGCTGCTCTCCTCCCCACGCAGACCCAGAGACCCGAGGAGAGATGCTCGGACCGCAGATGCCAGTGGCCTGCGAGGCGACTGAAATCGCAGCAGCAGGTCCCTCTAAGGAGGGGCAGAGCTGCCGTGTCTGTGTTACCCCCTGTACTTCAGCACCGGTTCTCTGTTTACTAACCCGACTAAACTCCGCTCACCGTCCTCTCTGCCTCCAGTGGTGTGTAATGTTGATGTGAGATGATCATTACCTCTAGGGCTAGTCCTTGCTGATGTTGTAATAGTGACTTTCTCTTCACCTTTCTCGTGCTGTGCGTGTGATTCGGGCTCTGTACGACTGGCAGGCGCTGCCACCCCCCCCGCCCCCAGCCCGGGAAGGGGGGACGCAGGGCAGGGGGACACAGGCTGCCCGGGGGACCCCTGGCTCCCTCCACCATTCCCCATTCTGCAGCTGGGGGCTGGTGGCTCACCCCGGCTGGCTTTGGGCAGGGCTCAGGGGCCAGTGGAGCGTTTTGGGGGCTTGCCCAGCGTGACTCTGGACCGCGCGTTGCCATTTCAGCAATAAATCCTCTTGTGCACCCCCAGCCCAAAGGCAGCCGTGGTGGGGGGGGCGAGCCAGAGGGGACATCCCACGGGTGGTGGCACCTGGGTGCATGTGGGATTTAAGGCTCCCCTTCCTCACCTGCTTGGCGCTGCCCTCTCTGTGTCCCTGGCTAAAACCGAGCCGGTCCGCGTGGGATGCTGTTTTAAAGGTGAGGAAAACACCGGGGTGGCAGAGAAGCCCATGAGGTCCCCCGGCACGGTGACACTGTGAAAGAGGGTGGGCTGTGTGGCAGTGACCCTGCTAGCCAGCACAAACCAGCTCCTCGCCAACACTCTGCCAGCCCGCGGGACAGAGGCGGGCGGGTTAAACAGTCTCTGAGGGCTAAAGAGAAACACGGACTGAACTAAAGACCCCGTCCTTGCTTGTCGCGGGCAGGGAAGGAGCACCGCCATTTCCTCCTGGTGCTCCCTGCCCTTCCCGATGCCTTGTCGCTCCCTGTGCCGTGCTCTGGGACGCGGCCACCCGTGTCCTTGCTGTGTGTCGTCCCGTGGCGCTTACGTGTCGTCAGCCCCTCTTGCCTCCTGCCCCTCCTGCAGCCAGCAGCGCACGGGGCTTTGTGGTGCCCAGAGTCCATCGTCACCTTGTGCCCGCTCCTGGGTCGGAGGCAGACCTGTGAGTCTGGCCCCTTCCCCAGGCCCCTGGGCAAGAAAAACCGTGGCCTCAGCTGGGGCTGGGGACTTAATCGTGGGCGCTTTCTGAGGCAGGGCCAGCCTGGGCAGCAGTGGGGGGCTGCACAGAAACACGTCAGGGATGCCGTCCACATCTTCTTGTCCTCCAGGATGGGTTTGAGAGGGTTTTCTGCTGTGCCCACCCCACGGCGGTGGCCCTGCCTCCAGCGTGGGCTGTGTCCCTGTCTGCTTTGCATCCCTCTGTGGGGCTGGGAAGTGCTCTCTGTCCCGTCTGTGGGAGGCAGAGGGGTTGTGTCCCCGGTCCTGGGTCCCTTCCCTTCCTCCCGGCTACGGCAGAGAGCTCTGCTCCCCTCCTGCCCCCGCGCAGCCCGGCCCCTGAGTGTCAGCTCTGTGCGTGTCCCGCGTCGGAGTGCCCGTGGTGTCTGTAGTGTGCTGTCGGTGTTAACACGAAACAAAGAAATCCCTGTGGTGTGTAGAAACGGCAAAATCCCGACTGTTGTAAAATAAACTGAGCTATTGTGTTTCCTTTTAAATAGGCGAGTGTGCTGCTGTGGTGAAGGACTGGTGTGTTCTGTGCTGTGACCCAAAACTGGGGGGGGAAGGAATAAAATATCGTTTCTATCGGTGCCTGGCTGCCTCGTCTCAAGGGCCGGGGCGTTTCCAAGGCTCGGGGGGAAGGCTGTGGGGAGCAGGATGGGGCTGGGGGCTCCTCCTCTGCTGGGCGAGCAGCTTCCCACGCCGTCCTGCTGCGGAGGGGCCGAGTGGCACCGCGTCCCCCGGCCGGCACAGCCGGGCTTTGTGCTGGCAGCGGCGGGCTGTCCCGTCCCCCCTCCCCGCCGCCCTCTTTTCTGCAGCCAGCAGCAGTTTCAACAATAGCCAGCCACCCTGTGAAGGGAGCGGCCGGCCCCGGCTGTGCAGCCCCGAGGGACGCGGGCACAGAGCCCCCCTTGTCCCCTGGCCTTTTGGGAGCCGACGGAGGGGGATGCTGGGCACCGCCTGGGCTCGGTGACAGCGGGAGGGCCCCACGCAGCACCCTCCCAGGGCTTGGCTTCACCCCACGGTGCCAGAACAGAGCTGCCAAGGGCTCCTTTGCCCGGGCACGGCGAGGGGAGCGCTCCCTGGGGCTGGCTCCCCCCGGCCACCGCAGCGCTGATGGGCTCGGGCGCGTGACTGCGGCTCGCTGATTGCCAGATTAGAGCAAACTGGATTGAACAGCCCGCCTGGCAGCTGGCCTGGGCACCGGGGGTCGGCACAGCCCCGAGGGGCGCAGCATCCCGGGTACCCACTGCCAGGCAGGGATGCACCACTGGCATCGCTGTGCCAGGGGGTCACAGGGACCCCCAGGATGGCTCGACAGCGGGCTGGCAGGCACTGAGCAGGCTGTTGCGGGGACAGGGCACGCTGCCCGCTTCTCTCCAGCAAAAGGCAGTCACAGCCCGTCCCCGAGCCCATCCCTCTGCCCCCCGCCTCGGGCTCGCCTCTGCAGCGGGAGGTGAAGCCCAGCTGGTCTGACATTTGGAAAGCTGGGGCAGGGACGCCGGTGGCTCCGGGGTGCCCAGCTCGCTGGCACGGTGGGTGCTCACCCTGCCCTCCCATCCATCCCCTCCCGGGCCTCCTTTCCAAAGGTGGGCGGGAGCCCTGCGCCTCCCCTCGTGACTGCGATAAACATTACACCGCGGCCGTTAATGTTTAATGAGGTTTGTCTCCCAATTAATGTGCTTTCCCGTGGGTGCCCACTCCCAGAGCGAGACACCCGCCGGACGGCACGCTGACACGATGGGTGACGGTAAGGGTGCTCCGGAGAGCGGGGCGGGTGGCAGCCACCTACCCAAAAAGGGCTTCCCTGGGGGGGACAGGCACCTTCACGGGGGCATCCCCATGGGAGGAGCAGGGCTGGTCGCCCCCATCCTCAGGAGCCTGCTCGGGGGAAGCTCTGGCGGAGGATTTGGGGGAGATGTGGGGATGAATCCCCAGAGCCCTGCAGCCCACTGGTGCGTCGCTGCTGGCTGGTGTTTGGCTTCTCGGGGGGATTCCTCCTTCTGAACGGCTCCTGGCAGAGGGACGTGCAGTCAGGTAAGGTGTCTTGAGCGGTGACACGCAGCCATCAGACGGATGAGCCTGCTGGTGTGGAAGGAGGCTGGCAGGACGTGCCCCGCTGCAAGGTCTCAGCCCGAGGGGTTGTTTGGCTGCGGGAGCGGAGCCATCGCTGTCCTGCCGAGTCCGATGGGCAGCAGCAGCTCTTCCCCGGGGCACCATGGAAGCTGCTCTGCTGATGGCGCAGCCTTAGCAAATAGCAACCAGCTGCTGCAAATAATCAAGCTGGGTTCCCCTCTGCAGCTTCACCTGGAGCTCCAGGACTCCTGTGCATCCCGTGGATGCATCCTGCGAACGCACCGTGAACTTTAAACTTCCTGGGGGCAAACCCAGGAATTTGGGAATCCTTTACCTGCTCAGCTGGACCTTAAGGAAGTCAGAGCCCTCTTGCTTACAGTCTTCATTCCTGACCTTTCCCACCTCGCCTCCCCATCCTGGCGCCCACTGCACGCCCAGGCTCTGGCTCTCACTTGGATTTCTCCTCTTTTCCAGAGCAAGTGCCCGAGCAGGGCCTGGACAGGTTCAGCTACGGTGAGTGCGTGCCCTGTGCAGCCCGGGGGCTACGGGCAGACCCCCCCCACGCTTGCCCGTGGGCTCCCAGCTGGGCTGACGCCTGCTCGGCTCTGCTCTTCCCCAGACTATGAGACCATCCGCAACGGGGGGCTCATCTTCGCCGTGGTGGCGTTTGTCGTAGGGCTCCTCATCATCCTCAGTAAGTGCCTGGGGTGGGCTGGAAGCCCCCCTCAGCTCTGTTCCCCGGCACACAGCCCCTTCTCTGCTCTTCTCCCTCTGTGCCAGGCACTGGCTGGGTGCTGGGGTGGGATGGGGGGCCCCACCACGCAGGGGGTGGGCATCACCCGCGGCCGGGGCCGCCTGGGAAATTTCCACCTAGGCAAGCTCCCAACAGACAGCGAGTTGGGAGGGAGACCACATAAATATTTAGCGTTTCCCTGCCAGCGTCAAGGCTTCGGAGGGAAGGTCACTAATTAAAAATAGCAGAGAAAACTCTGACGTTTCCAGAGTGAGAAACCAGCTTTCCCAGAGCCCTCAGACCTCGGCAGCTCCCAGAGAGACCTGGTGCCAAGCAGTGCAGGGCACTGCCCACCTTGCTCCATGGGGCCAGGGGTGGCCACAGCATCACAGCTGCTCACGGTGGCTGGTCCCAGCGGTTTTAGGGAGAAAAACTGCCTGCATTTGCAATCATGAGGGCAGTGTGGAGAGACATACATCTGAGCGGGCTCTTGTGGCTGGTGTTTTGCTGGGCAGTGCCAGGGGCTGAAGGTTCGGGGTGGCCCATGGGGGGCTGGCTGGGCAGCACGGCTGAGCTGAAGGCCAGGAGGCAGTACGTGGGGTCGGTGTCTCCCCACACCGGTGGGAGCCGTGCAGGAGGCCAGACCCAGCGTGCAGGCAGGGGGCTCGGAGCTTCCTGCAGGAGCCATCCCGGGGGTCCCTGCCGAGGGGACAAGCCCAGGAGCAGGACTGCTTCACCGGAGCAGAGAGGGGCAGGTGAGATGGGGGGGGGGGGGGGGGGGGCCACC